TCGGAAAACATGTGGTTTTGAAACAGGATGAGTATTTTATGTAAAGGAGAAATTACAGGATAGATTCCAAGATGGCCGAAGAGTAGCTGGAAGCTGTGCCCACTTGCTCCCAGCCCCAAATCAGATTTATAGCTAAATTACAGAGCAACCAACCTGAAAAAACAATTGAAATATTATAACCAAGGCTTTACAGAAGAAGCCACATAGAGACAGATAAGAAGGGCGGAGAAGTGGAAAGGGAATAAAATATAGTAAAATCAGAGGCATGGAAATGGAATAGACTGACCATTTTCAGAGGGAACGGGATGGGGGAGTGGGAAGGGATTAAACAAACATTTTATATGCATACTAGAGGCTCAGTGCACAAATTCGTGCATGGTTGGGGTCCAGCCAGCCACTCTGATCAAGGCAATAGGGCTGGCTGGGTGGGGGGAGGAGGGGAGTGACTTGGGAGGTTGGTCAGCCGGCCCTGCCCCCTGGTCAAACTCCCCATCAAGGGGACAATTTGCATATTAGCCCTTTTTTATATAGGATATACATTACCTATCGACAGACAATAGGGTGGAGAAGGTCTGGGGTGGGGCAGGGTGGGTGGAGAGGGGCAATGGAGAGAAAAAAGAGGGACATTTGTAATACTCTCAACAATAAAGTTTTTTTAAGTATAAAAAAGAAGCAGTCGGAAATAAAAATACATCTGATATCAAGAATACACTAGAGGTGAAACTAAGATGGCGGCATAGATAAACACTGGGAAATTGCTGCTTCCCACAACAATTGAAAAATACATCAAAAACACAAAACGGACATCATCCAGAACTACAGAAAGGCTGGCTGAGTGTAAATTCTACAACTAGAAGGAAAGAAAAGCACTCTGAGAGCCAGAGGAGCTGCGGAAATAAAGTGCAGAGGTAGGGGGCTCACGCGCGGTAAGGGGCTGGCACCTGAGGACGCGGCTGTCTTTTTGAATCCGGAGTGAGTCACAAGCTCCCGACGGCTCTGAACTCCGGTTCCGGGAAGTCTCTGGGGACCCAGGACTCATACGGGGGGAGAA